AGAGGCATCTCTGTTTTATCTGAATCCACTCCACAATTTTCAACGTTAATCACCTAGCAAAGTAAAATTTCATATGTAAGAACAATATGTTGTGAAGCCATGACTCTGTGTCAAATCCTGTCCAATAGTTCGTATCAAAAATGCCCCATTGACAAAGGATACACCTAGTACACGCAGTACATAGTCGGATTGTTTTAAAATCAGCAGAAACCTGAATTAAAGGATCATGATCTCTGCTAGTAAAACTGCTCGTATTTTCTATGATCTTCAGTATTCTACACTTGAACTCTTCATACTTTTCCTGCACCACAAATTCCCCATTATTTCAGGTAGCTACTGGGAAGTACCTCAATATTTCAGACAGATCTCTGGAAAAAAACATGGAAAATTGTAACAACATAGTAAATGTCACAACCTCAATTTTCTTCTTCTCAGCAATAAATTCAGAGCTGCTAAACTTTTCATTTCCGTCCTCACTTTCATCTGCTGAAAAATAAGCCACGGGACACCTCGTCCTCACCTCGTATTTCCTGCAAAATGGAATCCACCATTTCAAGAATTTCCAGGCTTCTTTAACTGCCTGGAAAGTCACAGAAGAACCCCCATCATCCGAGAGATACACATGAAGTTTATCAGCAGGATAGTCCAGGGCCATTGCTGAGATAAGAGTATTCATAACATCTACACTAGGCTCTTTTATGGGATTTGTAGTGCAAATAAACACATCAATGGATGGAAGTTTATCATTTCCAGGCAGTCTTTCTGGAAAAACTTTTCTGGAAATCGGGTTCCACTGAAAAGCCTGGCTCAAAAGCCAAAGAAAAGAGAGTATAAGCTCAGAGAGAAACACTAAAGCATGGGGCAAAAGTGCTGTGTTTTTGTCCCTGATTTTGATAATTTGGAAAAGAAAATTTGTTCTATAATAAATCAGGGCCAAAAGAGCAAAGCCTTGAGTGAAAATATGCAGCCTGTTTATGATTAGATTAGTTTTTTTGGCACGACGAAGATTAAGAGGAAGTGAGTTCTCCATCGTTTTTTGCTTTTTACTTTGTTCATTACAAGGTACAATATATCTAATTATATGGAAGAATAAGCTTGATGGACCCTTAATTTAATTCTCGCATTGATGATTAGGCTAGTCTAGAACGTGAGTTGGAATAGTTTGGCATTGTTAATCCAAAGAATAATGCTGTCAAAATGATTGATGCTATATTATTATTTAAGGATAAACAGTACTCTAATTTAAAAAGAAAAATGAAAAAAATCTAAACCTAAAGGGTTTTGCTATAGCAATAGGGAGTTTGACTATTGGAAATATACTTAATCATGCATAGCGAAAAATAAAATAAAATTCAATTCTCACCGAAGATCTGCTTTGTATTTAGATAGAAATTATACATTTGTTGAATTCTGCAAACTCTTTTGCTTTTCTATTATTCCAACAAATTTGATCTATCACCACCAACTGTCCAATTATTTAGCCTTCAATGAAAATCTACATAGAGAACAAGATTGAGAGAGAACCATGGTTTTACTTTTTCTAATGTTAGCAAGAATAATGAAAATCTTTATAGTATTAAAACCCTAGCAAATTATTTAATATATGTCCAAACGGGCTTGGCCCATCTCGTTAACCCATTCCAATATTTAATTAACCCACTTAATTAAATTAAGTCCATGAATTAATTCAACCTGTTAATTAATTCGGGTATATTAATAAGCAACCCAATTAATTAATTATCCAACACTTGTTAATAATTAATTGGTAAATCTCATTCTTCTAGTTCTCATTATGTGTATGATCCATTAGGTTCTCAATCACGTGCCAAATGATGTGGATTATTATTTCGATCTAATTAAAATCAATAAACAGAAAATACATGTTTTAATTTATCACAAATTTACATTCTCTGTCCCAAATTGACATCTAGCAATGTGACAGGGTAATAAATTTAACGGGAAGTGTCACGCGGTATGACAAAATCAAATTTGTTTGTTTACTATGAAACTATAATCCTTTCTTCAATATAATCCGATTAATTACGAGATATGAATAAGTATCAATCTCAATCATCGATCATATCATTCATTCCACTATTGAATCATTACAAATCAAAAACTTCTTTTCGACTTATGAATACATCTTGGCCAAAGATTTCATTATTAACTTAACTAAATGAAATGTAGATTATAATATCTTATTATCTGAGAGTGATGAATCATCTATTGATCAATTACAACTTTCATATGATTCTTGACATATTCGAACAATGTCATATTAGCAGTTCTTGGCAAAACAACATCCAACATTACTAAAGTATGACCGCCTCATATAAGGCACTATAATGATCTCAATCCAAAGGATCGATTCCACTAGCATACGTTAAAGATTAACCACCAACACTCTGATAGATATCCACGTGGAATCTCCCATGGGTCTCCAATGTTTTGTTCTATAACAAAACATCCACATGTTCTAAATGTTACCACACTTTTAGCTTGTGAAATCAGCTACTTACTTCATAAGTAAAAAATGCTACATGTGATGATCTATCGGTAATAACGATATCTATATTTCTTTATCACTGACGACCACAAATGATTTAAGATTCAATCATATGTAATTTATATATCACAATCACAAACTCCTTGTAATTAACAAATCAGTAACTTTTCAATCTATGGACTCTATTATTTAATTTAATTGAATATTAATTAAATAATAAATCTTCCATAAAATTATATCAATTATCCATTAAAAGTACTTATGTCCAAAGTTGATTGAATTTAGGGCATAATATTTATACTGACAGCCTCCTAGATCGACACAAAAATAGGGTGGCCCACAAAAAAAAAAAAGGGACCCCCCAGTTGTGTGGTTCGGTCAAGAGGTTGTCAGCCTCCCGGTTATTTTAGCAAAATTCAAACCTAAAATATTTATACATGCCTATTAGAGATATAACCCGTTTCAAATTTTTGGGTACTACTAAGTCAAGAAGGGAAACTTAGCTTCATACAATTCTACAAATTTTTTTTTTAATTAGAGACTTATCAATAACCATGTACTAAATTTTCCTTTTTCTTTTTTACACTTTTTGTCAAAATTATATTCATCCTGCAATTTTATTTTTTTTAAGTCCGTATTTGGTAAAAATTAAAATCCAAATTTTAATCTAAATCCCATGTTTTATGGGGATTAAAATCATATTTTTAATAGATTTTGATGAAAGTTAATAAATTTTTTTAGTTGAAAAATTGTTAGTCTTATAAAAGTGTTATTAAAATTTATTGTTGACTTTGAAATACGTGATTCAAAAGTTGTGCAAAAAGGAAGAGAAATAGTATTTATACCGACTACAAACTCTTCAATTTAGCCTAATTTAATGAAAATGATTCATAATTGGTACTATAAATTTGATGACAATTCCAAGAAAATGACATATTTATCAAATTTTTCAAAAGATGGACATTATTGGAAAAATAAAATTGATAAAATAATTTAAAGATGAATAACATAATGTTACATTTCACTCTATCACTTTTTAATTTAAATTATAATTAATTTTTTCATCCAATTTTTTCTCTTCAAATCATTTATGTACCATTTTCATATATAAGTAGGATAATCCTTGCCCCCCGGGGCACATCCGAGTTGGTGAAACAATTATATGGGTGGGCTCACAAACCTAGCGTGGAGAATTCGATTCCTGGAAGGCAACATTTTGGAAGGGGGATTTATCTCGAAGGCAAGGTGCTGGAAGGCAGTGAAGAGAGCTCTTTTAGGGGAAGGGGTATAAGCCATGCAGGAACTTGGGAGCCAACAAGAGCACAACACGCGATTAACTTCCTCAAGCTAATGAGGAGCCGGAGGCTTGAGGTTCAGGAATTAGTCTGACGAAGCTGGGAGACTTGGGTATCAAAAAAAAAAAAAGGTAGGATAATCCTTCGTTTTATGTATGGCTGTCACCACAAAAAGTACAATCATTTCTAATAATTAAAATGATATTAGGGTATCACTATTGCTGCGCAGCCATTGGCAGCCGTATCCAAATTTCTACTCGAGATTGAAACAAATTTCAGATAACATACGTCACGAATTGACAAAAGCTGAAAGATAATGATTAGATGATCAATAGCACGTTTCATGAGCATTTAGAGGTTTTTTATATCACAGTCTTAATAGTTCATAAAGTTCTTTAAATTATTGTAAGTCGTTACAATTATTACGTAATACCTTTGAGTGTGACGAAGACAATTCAGTTACCAAAGTTCTAGAAGAAAATTGATATAACTTAAACATAAAACAATATGGCGTTAAAAAATTGCAGAGAACTTGCTTTCGGAAAGCAATTCCAGAAAAGTTCTGTATATTTTCTATGAAATATGTTGATTTGAACATCAAGATTTAATGAATTATCATCTATCACATACTGCACCCAAATGATGACATAATAATATACATAGGCGCTTACACATCACTGCATGAATAGATATGGTGGGCTGCATGAAGGGAATGGTCTGTGTTGTTGAAAGAGTGGGTCTCAAAATTTCAAGTGTTGATAAGAATTTGAAGTGTACCACATGAGTTTGTTAAATAGTTATCGGGGAATTGCGACAAATCGATGTGGAAGTGTTCATTATATTGATTAGAAATTAGTTTGCATATTCCAACCTCAATAATATTTTTACTATAATCTTATAAAATTAAATTGAAAATAAATTAATTAATATTTGTTAAATATATTGAGAGTATAGCCCACTAAATAAATAAAATAGTAACGCTCACTCTTAATTATATCTTCTACGCCCACAGATAAAAAATGAAAATCTTCTAGAATCAAATTCACGAATTCAATTCGAACTTCTTTACCTCACGACAACGACTAACACTTAGTGCATTACAATTGATCTCATGAATCGATTAAATTTTACATTTTTATATATTTTTATGGAATCTTTTAATAAGTAAATAAGTTAACAGAGTCAAAATACCTCTTCTAGAACCAAAACAACAACAACAACAACAATAATACTTAGCGAACCCAAAAATTCAATTTGGACTTGTTAACATCACGAAAATACATAAAGTAAACTGGTTTCTCGCATTGATTAATACTATATATTGTTACAATTAATATTTTGTTTTTATATTGAATTTTTTCAATATCCATGGGTCCAGATTATTTGTCCTTCTTGTACATTTGTGTAAAACGTGAAGCCNAAATTATTTTCTGCTTTACTGTTTCTGCAAATCATTCATGGAAAATCTGTTTCATACAAACTTTTAAAATTTTAACCAACAGTCAAAATACCTCTTCTAGAACCAAAACAACAACAACAACAACAATAATACTTAGCGAACCCAAAAATTCAATTTGGACTTGTTAACATCACGAAAATACGTAAAGTAAACTGGTTTCTTGCATTGATTAATACTATATATTGTTACAATTAATTTTTTGTTTTTATATTGAATTTTTTCAATATCCATGGGTCCAGATTATTTGTCCTTCTTGTACATTTGTGTAAAACGTGAAGCCATCGATGAAGTAAATGATTAGACCCCCCCCCCCCCCCCCCCCCCCCCGATGCCATTAGATACCAAACATGATTCAGATCATAAAATTCTTTTTATTTTTCCCTGTAAAATTGAATTGGCATTTACAGACAAGTCTTTGTGTGACCCTTTTAACTTCGTTCACTTTCAACATATCATGTGTTGAAGGAAAATATCGATCATTACAGCAGTATCAATCACCTCCAGACACCTCAATCATCTCCAGCAAGCTCCTTGCCTGATTGCAAGAAATTCAAAAATAAGAGCAGCCTAGAATCATGATATTTTCCCACCTGTACAGCCTCATTCTTCTCCAGCAGACTCCTTGCAATCAGCAGCCTCAATCATCTCCAGCAAACTCCTTGAATGATTGCAAGGAATTCCAAAATAAGAGCAGCCTAGAATCACGCCCATTGTTGACAGTTAATCTCATAATTAGGGACCTCATTTACTGTTGAACATGTATATATACATATGTGCTGCAATGTAA